TACTCTGCATTTATATCATACACGTTTGGGGATAACTCCCTAGCATTTATTTTCACCAATTAAACGTAACCGTTTTCACAATAAATCAGACATTAATGTTCTTTTCTCTACGGACAGTACTCGGACCGCCCATGTAACCCTACTGGTCCGTTGGGTCGCGGGTGAACCGGGTCCGCGGAAGGCGGGTGTTACAATTTGGTATTATAGAAGTTCGATTTTGTGAAAAAAAATATGTAAAAAAAACATATTTTGTCATATTGGTCAAAGGGTATTTCCAGAAAGTCTACAGCCGCATCTCCCATCACATCACTTCCAGGAAAAGGTACACCGTTATTTAATTCACTTTTATGTCATATTGTAATTAGTTCTGATTTAAGCTCTTCTTATAGAGAATGAGCCAAGCAGTAGATAATGACGGATAGGTAGATCCACATAGGAGTGCCTGAGCACGTGAGCACACATCGAAGCGTCATACTAATTGCGTTATACACTCACTTGTTCCTATTTTGATACTCTGCGATTGTTAGATGAGTACCATTACTACAAGAAGCGTGTCAAGCGTTGACTCCAGCCGAACCTTCATGCTTGTTAAGAGACGAAAGAACAGGAGGCAAAGTTATTATTCGAAAGAGCGCTACCAACGTGCACATCGCAAGGCACTTGTCCCAACCAAACATGTTCCTTGAATGAAATCCGTTAATTGGTCATTAATCTATATATTATGCCCTCGTAAGCTTCACAAAACAAAGTTTTGGGTAACGCACTATCTCCCTAAACACGTGAGGTGCGACTTGGAGAGAATTTCGGGGACGAAATTCCTTTAAGGGGGAGATAATTGTAACGCCCTCAAACCGGCCTAGTTTTAAATAAATAAATATTATTTATTTATTGAGACTCATTGTTTTAAATAATAAATATTGAGATTTTGATCCCATTAGATGGCTTTCCAAAGCTAATGTATTTTAATATAAAAAGATGTTTTAATAACGGATCACTCAATATTAATTAAATAAATTAATTAATGATTTGGGTGGACCCGGAAGTTTGAAAATAAAGTTCTTAGAAAAATTATTTGAACATGTCATTAAATTCGTTTTGACTGTCTGATTCCGGAAACACAAACGGATCTCAATTCGGACCCGTTCGGGGGGAAACCGCGTACCGTTCAGGTCAGATTTTACACAACGGAGTGGAATTTAGGGAGATAACTCCCATTCAAACCACATGCCACTACACTCTTCATTTTCCATAACCTCCCATTCATATCCCATCATTATTTCCCATTATTCCTCCATAAATCCACATAATTTCACATGATTATAAAACTCCCTCTTCCCCTTCATTTCTCTCACCATGTGTAACCTCCCCAAACCATGACACCCATCTCTCCCTCTCCCCTCTCTTGTTCGGTCAAGCAGCGGCAGCCAGGCGAGGAGATTCCGGCGAGTAGACGGGGAGGTAGAAAAAGGAAGTTCACGCAAGAAGTTCGTCTGTTCGTTGGTTCGTTGCTAACCGTTCGTTCGTCTCACCGTTCCGTCAACCCCTTCAAATAGAGGTGAGTAGATTTCCCCTCTAATTCTAGAACATCTAGTTATAATCTATGTCGTTATATTCATAGGAATATCGTACGTAACCTACGTAGAATCTATGCATGTTCGTAGGTTAGCCTTCAAAATGTTCACTATGTAAAACTTATATATATTGGCCTAGGAATCACTAGGAATATATTCATCAATGTTTGTATTATTGTTCTAAAAAGAATCAAGGTGTTAAGTATTCAAAATGGATCAAAACGAAGCTAAGGACAAAGGACTATCTTCGGGACGGTCGACTGCCGCTACGGACAGTGGACCGTTCCCTCGGCCATTCCGACGGTCATCACCGTAACGGTCGACCGCCGGCCGTGACGGTGGACCGTTTGTGACCCAGACCCAGACCATAGCCCACGGTCGACCGCCGGTAGGGCACGGTCAACCGTTCCGCGGGCAGAATTCCTGGCATATTGTAGAATGAGCCCCGTTGACCATATTGACTTAGAATCTGATTGTATGTTTGCATGAAATGTTAATCTTCATTATGTATGTTATTTAATTGATATATTCTTGGCGTTGACCAAAGGTAAATATATCAAGCATTCATCATGTTCATTCTAGACGCATGTCCTAGGTTTATCATCATGTGCATACCGCTGTAGGGAGGTCAGGCTTTCGTGCGCCTACTACAGTGGGCCCGTCCAGGAACCTTTGGGATCCAACGGGTTTTCATCAGGTGGGCTTTGTGTACGTACATAGTAGTCAGGTTACGGCTACTACCCGGTTTTGCTAGTCCACTTGTTCCCGGCTCATTACCGTTTCGGTATGACAACCGGAGTGCAGGGGTGATCCTGTCAAGTGAGGCTAAGCCAGGGGTGTCCCTGATAGTTTAAGTCATGCATCAAGTCATACCGTCATCATGTATGTTCCACGTCACATCAACATTCAATGTGGTTGTTAATCATTTTGTTATGTGTAATAGTATCCCATTAAATGCAAATTGAGCAGTTAGTAAACATGTGGTTTTCCGTACGTTAAGTACCGGTATAAATATGTGTATAGCCATATGGGTTATCACTTCATGTTCTTTTGTTAGATTCACTCCTCAGCTTTTGCTGAGCGTGTAGTTGTTTTTGCTACACGCAGGTAGACATAACGGTACAGGTGCCAACCCTGGAGGACAGTGATGATGGGAAGATGGGCGGCGCACGGACGAGTTTAATAATTATAATCATTTGAATTAATTAATCATTTGGGCATGAACCCACCATATGTCGTTTTACCTATTTTGGACTTATTAATTTACTTCCGCTTTTACTCTGCATTTATATCACACACGTTTTGGGAATAACTCCCTAGCATTTATTTCGCCAATAAAAACACAACCGTTTTCATAATAAATAGACATTAATGTTCTTTACTCTACGGACGGTTCTCAGACCGCCCATGTAACCCTACCGGTCTGTTGGGTCGCGGGTGAACCGGGTCCACGGAAGGCGGGTGTTATAGTATCCCCCAATAACACCACTCCCCTCACGACCCATTCATCACCTCTTGCCCAAATACCCACAAACCACCCCGTCTGATCGGTTCTCGCGTCCCAGTCCATTCCAACCCTCCCCAACTCGACAACAGCCCAGCCCACCAAAACTCACCTGATCAAACCCAACCCTCATCTCACCTCTCCGGTTCTAGCCCAGATTCAGTCGTCGGCCCAGCTGACCGAACACGCCCAGCCCAGCCCAACCCACCTACAAATACCCATCCAATGACAACCCGCGCTAAATCCGACATTTCTTGCCCAAAATCCATTCTAAACCTCAACACCACAGCCCATATCTCCCCACTCACCCTTACCAACCGTAGCGCACTGAAAGATCCTAACTGGTATGATGCAATGTGCGATGAATTTAATGCTTTGATAAAGAACAAAACATGAGAATTAGTACCCCCCCCTCCCCTACCCAAAAAATGTAATAACTGGGAAATGGCTTTTTTGACATAAGTTTGGCCCCACAAGTGATCTGTCCAGGTACAAAGCTTGTTGGGTAGTCCTAGGGTTTAACCAGCGTTATGGCGTCGACTACAGCGAAACGTTCAGTCCGGTCATAAAACCAGCCACCATACGCATTGTCCTTAGTTTGGCCCTCTCTCGGGGCTGGCCCATACATCAGCTGGATGTCAAGAATGCTTTCCTACATGGCCATCTCCAGGAAACCGTCTATGCTAGTCAGCATATTGGGTTTGAGCATCCTTCACGACCACATCATGTTTGCAAACTCAAGAAGGCTCTCTGTGGCTTGAAATAGGCACCTCGCTCTTGGTATCAACGGTTTGCTGGTTTCCTACAGCACATTGGATTTCAGGGTTGCAAGACCGACACTTCTCTGTTTGTCTACACGCGTGGGCCACACATGGCATACTTGCTTCTCTATGTTGACGAAATCGTTCTCACAGCCTCGACAACTATGCTTTAATCTCAGATCACGGAGCAACTAAAGGGGGAAATTTGCCATGACTGATATGGGGGAGCTTAATTTTTTCCTTGGCATCAATGTTCAGCGCACCAAATTGGGACTTTTCTTGCATCAGACTGTTAGACGCCTCGCACACCTCTAGAGAGGGGGGTGAATAGAGGTGTTGCCCAAAAGACCAGTTTTTTTGCGCGCAAATGTTCTTCATGAATATTCAATAAAATCAATGCACCACAAACAAAATAAAGTGAAGGATAAGAGCAATGCACACACGATATATACTGGTTCGGCCTAAATGCCTACATCCAGTCCCCGAAGCAATTGTGCCCAGGCCTTCACTAACCCGTCAAACTTAACGGAGTTTGACAATCCGAATACAACTCGAGAACTTGATTTCACAAGCCTCTTATCTTACCACCGAAGTTTTGATTTCACAAAACTCAGGATTTCTTCCACCTAACGTTTGATTTCACAAACCGTTAGGATTTCTACCACTTGGTGTAATCCCAACACCAAGAATACAAATCCCTTACAATAAAGTAAGAAAACAAACCGCAACCGAGTAATTCTCCCAACACGGAGTAGATTGTTGCAAATACAATGAAGTCCTTTAGAATATGGCAATATCTCTCAAAGACTCAAGCAATGAGAAAAAAACTCAAGCAAGAAATGATTTAGCAATCAAAACAATTGCCTTGCTTGGATATAAGGAGGGGATTGAGTAGAATCTCTTTGGATATTCAAAAGATATGTTCTTGAAGCGTTTCTAATGTATATTCTTGGCCAAAAACACGAGATAGGATAGTTTATAAAAGTTAGGGAGTGGATAGGGATGAAAAGCATTCAAAAAACTAGCCGTTTGGTAGTTGGAACTGTCGAACTATTCGACTAAATCAAGATTTAGTCGACTAGTTTTGGTGAAACTGCAATCTGACTTATTCAACTAGTTCTGGATTTATTCAACTAAGTCAGAATAGAATTTCAGGGATTTATTCGAATAGTTTTCAATTTATTCGAACAGTTTTCTGGAAAAAAAATGTGTTTTAAAGGTAGGATGATAAGGGAATGAACCTTAGAGATGCCATACTCTTTAACACATAATCTAAGACCTGAAACACTACCCAACTAAGGAAACAACCTCTTCGGTCTCGTTCCTTCCACCGATGCTCAAGTCCCTTCTTCACGGACGGATTTGAACTTCTTGTAGCTTTGATTCTTAGCCTTGATGCACAAAATGATGATGATGTTTTGTCACCCTTTTGTCATTATCAAAACCTAAAAGACAATGGGCAAAGGACATTGCAAAAATACATATTCATGATAGCACATTGTCCAACAATTTCCCCCTTTTTGATAATGACAAACCCATTACGAGATATGCATCATCCAAAGCTAGTTCCCCCTCAAGTATTGCATTATAAATCAAACAAAGACATACAAATCTATACTATCTTCCCCATTTAGATATGCACAAATACAATTCCCCCTGAATATATGCATATCTACACCATCTTCCCCCTTTTGACATTATCAAAAAGAGATGGGCAAAAAGATATATGCTCATGCAAATAGATATCAAACAAACAAATAATATCACATTGTCCAACTAAAATATAAATCAACATTAGTTGGAATTAATAAATTGAATCAACTTCCCCCTTAATTGATGTTTCACCCAATTATGTGCTTGGCGCATCTACTTCAACTCAAGTCGAAGTGTTCAAGCACACCTTCCTTAATGAATCTACGAAGCAAATCTTGGTACCCAATACCTTTTGGGTCCAGGGGTGTTATGGCAATAATAAAAAGCATATGAACTATGCATCACATTATCTTGACTTAGAAGCAAGTTCCTATACTTAGTGTAACAAACTGGTTTGATGTGTCCTACTTTATTACAATAATGACACCTAACACTAGGGTTGTTCATGTTTCTAGGACGTGTGATGTGCTTTCTAGGTTGTCTATCAAACTTAGAATTTCTAGGAGATTGTCTAGGTTTTCTAGTGAACCTATGAGTATCGTAATTCCTATATTGATAAGATTTTCTCATCCTAGAATTAGTGGAGGTATGTACTATTCTAGATTGAGTCTTCTTAGGATTACTAATAAATTTTCGTTGTGAATTATCCCTAGAATTATTTTTATCCAAAGGTCTTTCTCCTTCTTTTACGAAGTTCATTTTCTTAAGTCCCTTAGATTTATATCCTAATCCATTTATATTATATTGACCTTGTTGAACTATAAAGTGCATGTCCTTGCTAGCCTTATTATATTTTGCTAAATGCTCATGCAATCTAGCTACCTCCTTTTCATGGATTTTACATTGTGCACAAGGTGAATCAACACTAACTTTGCCAAGTTTCTTATTCTCCAATTTTAATAATTCCATCTCTTTATTAAGTTCGGTTATTTTAGCTTCAAGAGAGATAACATTTTCCTTGGCAAATTTAGCTTCTTTGGTGGATTTGATAAATTCACCATAAAGATCACTAAATGCACTATGTAACTCATCCAATGATAAACAATCATCAGAAGTAGATAAAGGAGTAGAATAAGAACTAGATGATACCTCATCCTCTATTGCCATGAGACAAAGATTTGCCGTTTCTTCCTCATCATCACTTGCTTCGGAGGATGATCCACTATTATTCCAAGAAATATAAGCTTTTTGTTTCTTCTTGTTCTTCTTGTCCTTGTCTTGCTTCAATGTTGAACAATAGGGCTTGATATGTCCCAATTCACCACATTCATAGCATTTGGGTGGTGTTGCCTTCTTTGATTTGTCCCTTCTAGTCTTGAAATTTTTCTTGACAAATTTGTTGAAGCGTTTGATAACAAGAGCAAGTTCGGGATTGTCTTCTACATCACTTGACTCTTCATTTTGATTTTCCTCTTCAATCTCCTTGGTGGATTTTAGAGCAATGGACTTCTTTTGTTTGTTGTCTCCCGGAGGATAAAACGTAGAAGATTCATAGGCAAGTAGCTTTCCCCGTAGAGTGTCATAGGTCAAGGTGTTGTAGTCCCTTCCTTCACTAATGGCTCTAACCTCGGATTTCCACTCAGGAGTCATACACCGTAAGATTTTCCGAACTAACTCATTATCCGTGTAGTGCCTTCCGAGAGTGTCAAGATTATTGATAATATTTGAGAATCTCTCAAAATAACTATCAACACATTCATTCTCTTTCATTGAGAATAATTCATACTCATGAAGCAATAAATCAACTTTAGCATCCTTCACTTGAGTAGTACCTTCATAAGTTACTTCTAGCTTGTTCCACATTTCATTTGCGGTTTTCCATCGTAAAATCTTTCTGTAATCATCCGGATTGACCGCACAATAAAGATAGTTGATGGCTTTGGAATTTTGCATCACATTCTTTTTATCCGTTTCATCATACTCGGATTCCAACTTGGGCACTCGTACTCCATCAACGATCTTGTAGGGAGATGTGTCTCCATACTTGATGACCATCCATGATTCGTAATCATTGGATTGAACAAAGATTCGCATTCTTTCCTTCCAATATGCAAAGTTTGTGCCGTCAAAGAGTGGAGGACGAGTAGTGGATTGTCCTTCGGATATTCCCGCTTGAAATAATCCTCCGGCCATGATCTTGTTTCCTGCGGTAAAGCTATGGAAAATAACAAGCTCTGATACCAATTGTTAGACGCCTCGCACACCTCTAGAGGGGGGGTGAATAGGGGTGTTGCCCAAAAGACCAGTTTTTTTGCGCGGAAACGTTCTTCACGAATATTCAATAAAATCAATGCACCACAAACAAAATAAAGTGAAGGATAAGAGCAATGCACACACGATATATACTGGTTCGGCCTAAATGCCTACATCCAGTCCCCGAAGCAATTGTGCCCAGGCCTTCACTAACCCGTCAAACTTAACGGAGTTTGACAATCCGAATACAACTCGAGAACTTGATTTCACAAGCCTCTTATCTTACCACCGAAGTTTTGATTTCACAAAACTCAGGATTTCTGCCACCTAACGTTTGATTTCACAAACCGTTAGGATTTCTACCACTTGGTGTAATCCCAACACCAAGAATACAAATCCCTTACAATAAAGTAAGAAAACAAACCGCAACCGAGTAATTCTCCCAACACGGAGTAGATTGTTGCAAATACAATGAAGTCCTTTAGAATATGGCAATATCTCTCAAAGACTCAAGCAATGAGGGAAAAACTCAAGCAAGAAATGATTTAGCAATCAAAACAATTGCCTTGCTTGGATATAAGGAGGGGATTGAGTAGAATCTCTTTGGATATTCAAAAGATATGTTCTTGAAGTGTTTCTAATGTATATTCTTGGCCAAAAACACGAGATATGATAGTTTATAAAAGTTAGGGAGTGGATAGGGATGAAAAGCATTCAAAAAACTAGCCGTTTGGTAGTTGGAACTGTCGAACTATTCGACTAAATCAAGATTTAGTCGACTAGTTTTGGTGAAACTGCAATCTGACTTATTCAACTAGTTCTGGATTTATTCAACTAAGTCAGAATAGAATTTCAGGGATTTATTCGAATAGTTTTCAATTTATTCGAAAAGTTTTCTGGAAAAAAAATGTGTTTTAAAGGTAGGATGATAAGGGAATGAACCTTAGAGATGCCATATACTCTTTAACACATAATCTAAGACCTAAAACACTACCCAACTAAGGAAACAACCTCTTCGGTCTCGTTCTCAGTTTGCTCACGAAATTCTGGATAGAGCAGGCATGCTCCACTGTAAGCCCATTTTTACATCGGTGGACTCCAAAGGGAAAATGTCCGCTACTAATGGGGAACTAGTAGCTGACCCATCTCTCTATCGCTCACTTGTTGGTGCTCTTCAGTATCTCACTTTCACTCGGTCTGATCTCACTTATGTCGTCCAGCAGCTCTGCCTCTATCTTCACTCCCCTCAGACGACTCATCTTATTGCTTTGAAACGGGTTCTTCGCTATCTTCAGGGCACCACCACTTATGGGATCACTCTATCTCGCACTTCCTCGGATTCTCTTCAGGCTTATTCTGATGCAGATTGGGCTGGGTGTCCAGACACACAACGTTCCACATCCAGTTACTGTGTATTTCTAGGGGACAACCTGGTCTCATGGTCCTCTAAGCGACAAGGAACAACCTCCCGATCAAGTGCCGAGGCTGAATACAGAGCTGTCGCAAATGCCGTCGCTGAAACCAGTTGGATTCGGAATCTTCTTCTCGAACTTCATCAACCTCTCCGCCGAGCCATCGTAGTGTTGTGTGATAATATCAGTGTCGTTTACTTATCTTCCAACCCAGTTCAGCATCAGTGTACCAAGCATGTCAAGGTTGATATTAACTTTGTCAGAGATAAATTAGCGCTTGGTCAAGTTCGAGTGTTTCATGTACCATCCTCTTCTCAATTAGCAGAAATATTCACCAAAGGGCTGCCATCACTGATCTTCACCGACTTTCGACACAACCTTGGAGTTCGGAGGTCAACAACGGAGTTGGTAGCGTGTTAACGATGTTAAGTGTATATTACATATTTATTATTGTTATTATTTATAGTAGATTCCTTGTTTGTATAGGATCCACTGTAACACCCCAATTCGTATAACTCGGAATTATAGGAATTAAGGTGAAACGGGAGAAATATTTTTAAAACTTTTTCCAAATCATTAAATAAAATTCATAAAACAAAAATGTAAATACAAAATACTAAATTCAGATCCATCCTTTTACAAATGTCGGAGATAGCAAAAGACTTAAAATAATACAAATACAATGATGTGGGTCAAACCAAAAACATCAAATGCAATGCTTGTGAAAATCATGCATGTCAACCTGTCATCCTATCGTCTCTTCGTCCTCCGGGTGGTTAACATAATCTGTGCTTCAACCTACGTGTAGACAAAAAGACTACACGCGTACGCTCAGCATAAAGCTGAGTGGTACGATAACGCGAGAGATCGATAACATATTTATACTTAAATACCATGCATCACATTGGCCACATAGCTTCATGGTTGCATAGTAGATAACACAAGATATAAGATACACGTATGCATGTCATAGAGATTAATTTTGGAATATTATCCAAATATAAATACCTTGGCCTTGTCGTCGACGATGTTCGATATGAAGTGCGGTACGTTTTGCAATACCACATACAAATTGATAATTAAGATCTGCATAGTTACTTACAAATGATAATGCTAAATGATTCATGATGCATGAGTTAGACTGCGCAGGGACCCCCTGCCCTTCGGTGATCATCCCCACGCGATAGATGAGCCGAGGAACGCCTTAGTCTCCGAAAGGAGCCTATAAACTGTGGATGGTAACTGAATGCCTAGTTACCATGTACATACACAAGCCCTCCTGATGAAACCCGTTGGATCCTGAAGACTCCTGGACGGGCCCGCGGAAGAGGCGCACTAGGCCTGACCTCTTGACGCGGTATGCGATGAGATGAAACCCGTTGGATCCCGAAGGCTCCTGGACAGGCCCGCGGAAGAGGCGCACTAAGCCTGACCTCTTGATGCGGTATGCGATAGTAAGCCATGATCCTATGACATGCTTCTAGAATGATGATATGATGTTATGAATGGTATACCACCTTTGGATTTAACTGAGCATGCTTGACTTACGATCCTAAAGACTTATTTTGAAAGCTAAGTCTCGATTTTTAATCCATATTTCAATTATTGATTCTTACCTTGAAAGCACTTTGATTTCGGATCTTTCTAAAAGTTCAGCAGCCCCTGATAATCGATTATCACTTAGTGATAATCGACTATCAAATTTCTGCAGCCTCTGATAATCGATTATCACTTAGTGATAATCGACTATCAAAGTTTAGCAGCCCTTGATAATAGATTATCAGAACTTGACAGTCTACTATCACAGTACTCGGGTTCTACTTTCGTCTATCGAATTACGTTCAACCTTTTGAAAATTATAATGAACATATAATATTTAAAAATATACCTAAATATTGAGTTCCTCTAAATTCCAAATGAATTTCTAGATGATTTCTTTTTCAACAAGTCTCATACCACATATCTTTATAGCGAGAAGACTACAATCATACGGATTCAACGTAGGTTATGCCAAGTAGTTGAGCATATAAAACAACAAACACACATATGTTCATACATGTAAAACACATATATTTAGGAATGGATTTACGTGTTCATGTAATCTTCTAAATATAGTCTAGGTGTTTGCCAACGTTTTCATTTATATATCCATTTAATACACCTATACGTATCAAGTGATGCTATTACGATATTCAATAGTATTTCCTCAAGCCTAACCATTTTACTAATTTTACTTCAAAGTTCATATCGTTTACGATTGAGTCAAACATCCATCTAGCCTTTGTGTAATTGCTTGATTTCATAACGGTTTCTAATCCTCGTTGTTTTCTACGGAACGTTAATAGATCAAGAATATAACATGATATGAATCTATATACAAATAACAACAAACGTATTTGCATATAAATATATTGAAGATTCCTCCGTTATATCTAGGGTGTACATACCTCGAATACGACACAACGTTTAAAGGAACCGAACGAATCAACGTCAACGAATAGTCGTCAAACCGTTAACCTTCCGATTTCCAAATGGCTTCTTGAGTTCTGTTTCTTCTTGTGAATACGTTATAGGGGTTGTGAAGAGTCGGCACGCACCAAATGAATAGTGGATTGGATGAGATGGAACAAGAATGGGGGCGGAAGTTGCAAATCTCGCGTTTTCCGTCGCCACTGGACCAATTTTGGTAAAACGGCCGTATCGCCTTCGTTACTCGTCCGATTGACAAACCGTTTGTGGCTGTGGTTCACCGACTTGCAGGGCTACAACTTTGGTCAAGAAACCATGACCAAAAACTGAGTTGAAGATTGTCGAAATTCTGCCCAAAGTGGACTGACGGGATTTTGCTTCCAAAAATCAGCACCTCCTTCCTCTTCCTTCTTCTTCTCCTTCTCGCCGGAAAGGTCTCCTCGCCTGGCTGCCTTGGCCGAACACAAAGGGGGAGAGGGAAGGAGATGAGTGTTGAGTGCTTGGGGCTTACAAAGTGTGGTGGAGATGAAGGGGCGAATGGGCTTATAAAGAAAGGGAATAATGGAGAAATAATGATGGGAGTAAATGGGAAATAAATGGTAGGGAGAGGGAGAAGGAGTGTCGTGGGGTTTTAATTAGGGAGTTACCTCCCTAAATTCCACTCCGTTGTGTAAAGTCTGCCCTGAACGGTACACGTTTCCCCCCCTGAACTGATCCGAATTGAAAAATCGATTGCGTTTTCGGAAATAACCCGTCAAAACTAAATTTATAATATCTTCAAAATATTTTTCTAAAAACTTTATTTTCAAACTTCCAGATCCGTCTCAATCATTAATTAATTTATTTAATTAATTAATGTTGAAAGGCCCGTTATTAAAATACATTAACTATCGAAGTCTATTTTAAGAGTTCGAAATCTCAAAATTTATTATTTAAAATAATGAGTCTCAATAAATAAATATTATTTATTTATTTAAAATGTTGGCTAGATATTAGGCCGGTTTGTGGGGCATTACATCCACAATTAATATGGGAGAAAAACCAAAATAACACTCTTAGAGCACTAAAATACTCT